GTGACTTACTACTGAAAACAAAAATTTTCACCTGGTTTCACTTCAATTACTTGTAATTGAAACACAGAAGCAGGGAAACTATTTTCCTGCTAAGAGCAACTGTGGAAGGATCTGCCTGGCCTTCCCCTGTCCCAATACCGGCAGCATGATTGTCAAGACAGGGAGAATGTTCCAGAGAGGGGCAGCACAGCCTTACACATTAGGGTCCCGAATTCAAATCCCAGCACCAAAGTCTGTACCCCCGGGGGCCCCTACAATCCTGAATCAAGCATCTCAGAAGTGGGACCCTGCCACCCAAAGAAATTGCTGCCAATGTGTGAGGGTATAAGCTGTTTCACATGTATGAACCAACTCCCGGCTCTACACTCTGAGATCCTGTTCCAACACTAACATTTGGGATCTACTGTGTTCCATAAAATTAATTTCATTTGTTCTAACACGCTTAGTGGTGACTAAAACATTTTAAGTTGGAGATAAGGCTCATGACTCATGACAGATTTCTATTGGGCTCTCATTCCACCACTTTTTTTTATTGGTAATCTGGAAATCAGAATTCTGTGTGTGTGTGTGTGTGTGTGTTCGCGCGCGCGCGTGTGTGTGTGTGTATGTGTGTGTGTAGGGGTGTTAGGGGGCAGGTGGTGAGGGAACGCTTTGGACCACACCTGGCTGTGATCAGGAGTCACTCCTGGTGGGACTCGGGGGGACCATATACAGTGCCAGAGGTCAAACCAGGCTCAGCTCTCACAACTTGTCTTTTCATGAGAGAAATGAGAAAGAGGCCCGGAGAGATAGTGCAGGGGTGATACTATCACCCCAGCTCAATCCCTATAGCGCAGATGGTCCCCAGAGTACCACCAGAAGTGATGCTTAAACACAGAGTCAGGAATAGCCCCTGGGCACCCCAATGGCCCTCTACCCCCAAAGGAGAAAGCATTGTTGGGGGTCTCACATTATGTCATTTAGACCTATTCAACAAATAGCACTGCTTATGGACTCTACATTGGCGAGGAAAAACTCTGATATCTATCCAACTTCAGCAGAAAACAAATGTGAACACTATCGTTTTATTTTCTTTCAAGGAAAATTTGGTTGACTGGCTGAAGACACTGTGAAGAAAACCCTAAAGTGTCTTGCAGTGTTCTCAGAGTTGGTGGCCCTCGCCCCTCACTCTGAGATGCTTCAGGGGACAGGGCCGGAGGCGGCCTCTGTCCTTTCTGGCCGGTGCTTTGCTGCTCGCTCCCTGCAGTTCCCACAGAGATTCAAATTTCTTTTGTATTGGTTTGGGTTTGGGGGCCATACCCGGTGGTGCTCAGGCCTTACTCCCAGGCTCTGTGCTCAGGAATCACTCCTCCCGGGGCTCGGGGGGACCCCCTGGGATTCCAAGATTCCCTGGAAGCCCAGTACAAGGCTGAAAATGATGGGGCGGGAGCAAGAGGACATAGGATGAAGCACCACTGAGCCTGAGTGGCCAGCTGGGGAGAGAGGGCGCTGGGCAGCCTCAGAGAGTAAGGAAGGTGACGTGGCTACACTCCCCACTGGACATAGGGGGCACCGGCAGGAATAGTCAGGCCCCTTCCTGAGACAGGGGAGCAGGGGGAAAGGATAACAGTGAAGGCAACGAGGAAATGGGAGACTTGGTTGGAAAGCAATGTGTCCAGTTCAGCAGGTCACTTCCGTGGCAGGCCCGGGGATGCCTGGTGCATCTCTGCGGGCTACTCCTGCAGAGATGCACAACCCAGGGCGTTACCTGCTACTGAACAAGGCAGAGATTTTGCAAATGTTGGAAGTGGGGGGGGGTGTGGAAAGAAGTGGCAAAGGAGCTAAGGAAGCTGTCTAAAGACGGTGCCTGGGAGGGAAACTGGGGACACTGGTGGTGGGACAGACACCCTGGTAGAGGGATGGGTGTTGGACACTGTATGACTGAAACCCGGTCATGATCAGCTTCTGAACTCTGTAACTCAGGGAGACTTAATAAAATAATTAAGTAAATAAACACAGTGCTTGAAGGAATGAAGGCACAGAAAAAAAGGGAAATGAAATCCTCAGTGTGTATATAAGACAAAGTTAATTTCTGAGATCACAAAATGCAAGATGGCTCTCCATCTATCCATCCATCCGTCCATCCCATTCATCCATCCATCCATCCAACTATCCATCATTCATTCATCCTTCCGTCTTCTTACTGACTCTGTCCATGTGCCAGGCACTCAACAGGGCTGTGGGAATTCAAGGTCAAATCAAAGTTGAAACAGGTAATTTAGATTAATTAAAGAAAGTTAATAACCTATGAAATTCATTATCCAAATGATGGCACATGCCAAAATACAATTTAGTGCAGAAGAAATTAATAGATGACACACAGCTCATGAGGGCTTACCTACGCAAACCAGGAACGCACCCAGACAACATGAATAATTGGATTTGACTGAATGGCTGGGGACCCCTTTCCGACATCCCCCCTAAGCCTTCAGCACCTAATCCTATGAAGATTATTAACTGTTTTCTTTCACGGGCTGCAGAATTCCAGCAATAACATGGCATGCTAGGGACCATCTAGCCTTAAATACAATGCCAGGCCTGTTTTTCCTGATAGGAAAAACCAAAAATCTCCCATCTCCTACCTCAAGAGAAAATGAAAGAATCTGGAGAATAATTAGGGGTGTGTGGTGTTGGGAATCAAACTCAGAGCATTGTACGTACAAGGCAACTATTATACTGTTGAGCCACATCCCTGGCCCAAAGGAAGGTGACTTTTTTTTTTGCAGGGGAGGGGGTTCCTAAGACCCTGGGGTCCTAGTGACTGGTTCTCAGTCAACTGAGCTGGTGGTTCAATGTGAGTGCCTTGGATGCGTGCTACCCAGGTCCTTCGATGCTGGGGACCAAGCCCAGCTGCTCAGGCTGAGATGCTCTGGGGATCCCAGGTTGCTGGGGACCAAGCCCAGGTTGACACATACTAAGCATAAGCCCCAGAAACTGTAGCCCCTGGGCCCCCAGGAGAATGAATTCATCCTTTTTGTTTGGTTTGGGTTTTTTTGTAGGGCCACACCCGGCAGAGCTCAGGATTTACTCCTTGCTTTGTGCTCATTTCTGGCAGTGCTTGGGGAACATATTGGGTGCTGGGGATTGAACCCCTGCTGTACAATTGCTCCAGCCCCAGAAACATCACTATTCCCTGTGGCTAAGACACAGGCAGCCAAGAGGCCAGGCCCGGTCGTAACGAGCCTGTTCCCTGCCCCCGCCCACAACAGTTGGTGGGAACCAGAAGGCTGGAGGAACTGGAATTGGGGTGGGCTGGGGGTGCTAACAGGGCAGCTGGTTCAATTGAGGATGCCCAATCCACGGCGGAAGTGGGTTTCCCAGAAGACATTAACCAGCTCTGACACCGTCCCCAAAGAACACGAGCAGCTTCTGCTAGGGGACAGAGCAGTCCACTGATTCTTTAGGACTGTATTAAACCATATTTGTTCAGTTACACAGAAAGTCAGTGGTATCTTACAGGTTAAAACCCATCATGGCACTGAATCACTGATAAGGAGGGAAAGCCGTGAGAGTATTGCATATGGGGGAGCATTTCCTTTGACGCTCATGGGGGAGGACTTCCTGTGGTACTTATGGGGGAGCATTTCCTGCGGTGCTCATAGGGGAGCACTTCCTGTGATGCTCATGGGGGAGCACTGCCTGTGGTACCTATGGGGGAGCACTCCCTGTGGTGCTCATGGGGGGCATTTCCTATGTTGCTCTTGGGGGCCACTACCTGTGAGTAGTGGCCCCCTGTGAGTAGTGGGGTCCAACCCGGGCCTCTTGCATGTGTTGCAGGCAGGAAGAAGGGGGCCCTGGTAATGGATATTGGGCATATCTGAAACCTGAACCAGCAGGAAGGCACAGAGGCCTTCAGAGAGGCGCCAGGAATTGCAGGAACAAAGGTTACACAGGCACAGCTAGACGGGCTGCCCAGAAGATCGAAACCTTTCCCCAGGAACTGCCCTATAAACTCCTCCTTGTGGAAGGATTCATGCCGAAGGCAGGTACGGAAAACAACCCCACTTAGCCCTCCCCCAAGCATGGCACGGGGCCCCTTCACTCCGGAGACGTGGTAAGGGGCACGAGTCTTAGCTTCCCTCTCTCCTTCCCTCCCTTCATTTCCCAATAAATTTGTTCTACTTCACTGCTTGTCGCCTCCTGAAATCCTTTCCTGAGAGGAAGGTCTGGGTAAGGACTGGGACAGACTTTCCTGTCCGACACAGCGAGTCCGCAGCTCCCTGAGTATGAGATGGGTTGTGGGGATCAACCCAGGCTGGGCAGAACAAGTGGACGTCGGGTGCATCTTGACCACGGCCTTGAGGGCTGGTGGGACGGCAGGTCCAGTATGTGCTGAGTAGGGGCTCACTGTAGACTCCCCCAGTCCTGCACCTCCCAGGCATTCCGGGGGGCAGGGGGAGGAAGGCGGGAGAGGGAGAGTGTCCGATTTCCTTCTTGAGGCCGCAGCCTCTCTCCTCCCCGCTTCGTGGAAGTCGCCCAGGACCCCCGAGCATTACACATGAAGCCTGTGCTGCAGTCAGCTAAGCTGAGAAATGCAGGCAGGATGCTTCAAGGAGGAAGGTTCAAACCACCCGGGGGCTGGAGAGATGGCGCAGCCCAGCCACAGGACACCTGCCTCGCACACAGACACCCCAGGACACGCCTCAGCACCCCACATACTCCCGGGAGCCCTGCCACAGTGATCCCTGAGCACAGACCCAGGAGTTGGCTCTGAGCACCCATTGGGGTGTTCCCCAAACAAAACAAAACAAAAGAAACAAAAGATTCTGACTCTCCTACACCCTCCCAAAGAAAGAAAATACCAATGCCTCGGAAGAGGACTCGGGGTGTAAAATCAGGAAAATGATGGTGTGTGAGCAGCAGAGGGGACAGACGAGCTTCTCCCGACTCCGCTGCCAACACCAACCATGGACAGCTCCGGGCACCTGACAGGGTCCCCCGGAAACCGTCAGCCCCGTTACCTGGATGGTCCTCTGAGTGCCATCAACGTTGACAGACAACAAGGGTGACGCCAGGTTCCACGTGCTGGTCACATTCAGCTTCGACCCGTCAACTTCCACCTGTTGTGACACCAGAATGAGGCTGTTACCACGCAGGAAGACAGAAGAACCCCGGCGCGGGCCCGCAGCGGCCGCGCGAAGCAGATGGCTCCAAGCGGCCTGTCATGTTTCCTGGCCCCGCCATGAAAGACAGGCCAGCGGGGAGTGTGTGGACGTCTCTGGGGAGGGGGGGCGGGGCTGGGGTCCAGCTGCCTCCCCGAACAGGGGTTTCGAGCCACATCGAGGGAGGAGCCCTGAGCCGATCTGGACATGCCGCCTCGTCTGCAATTAGACGGATAATGCATATAAATTCCAGTGACTCTCTGTGACCCCTGCAACAGGGCCTGCATCTAATATCCTCTCCAAGGACCGCGGGAGAACTTTCCCCGCGTTCATTTTCATGAAGGACTACGCGGCGTTGTCTTAATTAAACAGACGCTTTAATTAGGCAACATTCGTGGGTGTTGAATATTAAAAGTCCATCTGAACTCTGTGAAGCTCTGTCACACTCCTGTCCATCACAAAGGCTCCCTGCAACAGGTCGGCATTCGTGAAGACAAAAGTGAGACCATGGTTGTTTAAAAGAGACTCTCCCAGGGGCCAGAGCAATCCAGTACAGAGGGGCGGGCTCTTGCCTGGCAAGGGATAGACCCAAGTCCAATCCCCAGCATCCCATAAGGTCCCCTGAGCCCACCAAGAGAGATCTCTGAGTGTAGAGCCAGGAGTGAAAGAGAGATATTCCTAAGAGAAAAATACTCAACCCCCAAGCATACATGAAAATAACTGCAAGGAAGAAAGCAAAGCTCCCTTAAAATAAAATATAGTTTTACAGTAAGAGACATAGCAAAGAGGTATCTGAGGTATCTAAGAGGTGCAGAAGCTTCCCAGGGAAGACAGGAGGTCCTGAATAATTCTATTAATTCTCTTGGAACAATTATTTACTCCAGCCGCCTCAGACCACTATGATTTTGTGCGTGCAAAACAGCAGGCATGGCTCAACTGACTAAGCACATACTTCGCATGCAGGGGGCCTGGGTATGATCCCTGGCACCACATGGTTTCCCTGAGCACAGAGCCAGGACTAGCCCCCAAGCACCACCCACAAAACCACAAAAAGGAAAAGTGTGGGGCTGAAGTGATAGCACAGTGGGTAGGGCATTTGCCTTGCATGCAGACAACCTAGGTTCGAGTCCCAGCAAGGTCTCCCGAGCACCGCCACGAGGAATTCCTGAGGGCAGAGCCAGGAGTAACCCCTGAGCATCGCCAGGTATGACCTACAGGTGCTGAAACCATAGAGCAGTATGCATAGGGCACTTGCCTTGCACGCGGTCAAACGGAGCTCAATCCCCAGCATCCCATAGGGTCCCCCGAGCCCCACCAGGCGTGATCCCTGAGCACAGAGCCCTGAACACCGCTGGGTGTGGCCCCCAAACAAAAACTCAGAAGCAGCACTTTAGTGAGAAAGTTAAGAGGACCTACAGAATTTAAGAAGACCTACAGAGAGAGGAGAGGGCTCCCATGGCAGAACCCATATCAGCCACACGAGAGGCCCTGGGCTTAATCCCTGGCACCACCCAGCACTATGGTTCCAAGCACTATGATAATGCTACCTATGTGCATAGGCAGCACTTTGAACTGGGAGTCCCAGTGCCTACCATGGGGCCGTGTACAGATCACGCCCGTGGATTAGAAGAGTCAGTGTTACTAAGTTCTCTCTCTGACTGAGCTACGTGTTCAACAGAATTCCCATCAAACTCCCAGCAGGCTCTCCCTCATTGGGCAGGAACGGATGCATTCAATCTGAAACACAGGTACACAAGCAAAGGAAATACGACGGCAAAAAGCAATTTTGAAAAATAAGCAAATCAGAGAGCTCAGGGCCCTGGGTTTTTAGACTTCCCCTTGAGTCAGGGGCTCAGGAAACGGGGAAGAAACAGGCACGTTCATGACAAGAACAAACCGAGAGCAGCGTGTCTAGCGGACTTCCCCAGAGCGCCAAGACAGGAAGAAGACAGAACACAGAGCGCGTCGACCTGCAACCCTGGAGCATCTGAAAAGCAGTATCATTTTATTTATTTTTTATTAGGGGGCTATCCCCAGCGGTGCTTGGGCCTCATTCCTGCCTCTGTGCTCAGGGATCACTCCTAATGGGGCCCAGATGGGGTGCTGGGGACCGAACCCGAGTCAGTCATGTGCCAGGCACTCAAGCATCTTTACAAACCCTGTACTGTTTATCCAGCTCAACAGCAATGATTTTGATTTTTAATGATTTTCTGGGCCAGAGAGATGCCTCAAAGGACTGAGCATGTGCTGCCCACAGGAAGCCCTGAACTCACAATCCCCAGCACCTCAGGGTCCCCCGAGCTCACCACCAGGCATTCCTCCCCACGAATAAACCCTGACATCGCCACACGGATTACCAAAGCTCAACTTGGGGCAACAGGGGCTAGTGCAAGGGGCTCGCCAGGCATGTGCCAGGCCGGGAACCCCATCCCTCATCCCTCTGGCACCCGATGCCCCTGCCTGTGCCAGCACCAGGGACAGCCCTTACTCAAAAAGACTCAAGTGATAAAAGCTCAAGGGCTGGGGCGCATGCTCCACACGGAGCAGATCTAAGTTCAATTCCCGGAACCACATAGTCGCCCCCCTCCTCTGACCAAGCTCTTGAGGCAACAGGCCCTGAGGTCCTCCCCGCTTTGCAAAACCAAAGGTCGGAACAGAAAACATAAAACTTGTAGGGAAAAAAATAGAGAGAAAAATCTTCATGACCTGGGGCTAGGTCAAGACTTCTTTCTTTCTTTCTTTTTTTTTTTTTTTGCTTTTGGGGTCACACCTGGCGATGCACAGGGATTACTCCTGGCTCTGCACTCAGGAGTTACTCCTGGAGGTGCTCAGGGGACCTTATGGGATGTTGGGAATCGAATCCAGGTCGGCCGCGTGCAAGCCAAACGCTGTGCTATCTCTCCAGCCCCCAGGTCAAGATTTGTTAGGATACAAAAATACGTAGGACAAGATTTGAGGTTTAAAGGTAGGTAAAGAAATATTCTTGATAAACTTTCAGTATCAATATTGCAAGCCACAATATGCACGCGTGTGAGAGGGAGGGAGGGAGAGAGAGGGAGAGGGAGAGAGAGAGAGAGAGAGAGAGAGAGAGAGAGAAGAAGAAAAGCACCTGCCATACAGGTAGGCAGGGGGTAGGGGTTGGGTGGGAGGGAACCTAGTGCTGGGAAATGTACACTGGTGGAGGAACGGGTGCTGGAACACTGTGTGACTGAAATCACACTGTTCCAATCATGAACAGCTTTGTAAGGATCTATCTCACAGTGATTCAATAAAAAAGTCTTTTTTAAAAAAATACATGAATCTTACATGGCAAAAACATAAGATGAATCGGGTGAGACCAAACTGTAAGCTTCAGTTTTCAGACAAGGCAGCGAGGGAGACTCAAGTCACGGGTAGGGAGGAAGTAGCTGTGGGGGACGTTTTGGGGAGGAGGGGGGAGTTCCTGGGTATAGAGCAGAGACTCTGCATGCAGGAGTCTCATGTCCATTCCCAGGCACTGCATGGTCCCCTGAGCACTGCAGAGAGTGGTTCCCCGAGCACTAAGCCAGGAGTAGCACCACTGAGTGACCCTCAAAAAGAACAGAACAGTCTCCCAGAAAGGTGGGTGTGACCAAACGGAAAAGTTCTTGTTTCTAAGTCAGAGACACTACTTACACCCAACTCTTGGGCCTAAGATGACTAATGGAGCTCGCGGGGTGCAGGAAATCATATCTCATTGTTCTGGCACCAAGAACCTGACATAAAGAACCACCCAATCTTCGGCAATGTCAGAAACTGATGGGAAGTGGAATCTCCCACCGAGAAAGGAAGGATTTGGGGAGAGGTATTAGGACCACGGGTCTAACCAGGAAAAGCTTCGGCTCCCCATGCTCCTCCACCAAACCCAACCAACTGCATCACCAACAACCATCGAAAAGCAGCAAAATGACATTCTGTACAAAGTTAAAAAAATTAAGATGAAAATCATAGTCTAAGAGCATATAAAACCTACTAAGAGATAAACAGGAAAAGTTCAGATAAATAGTTCTCCGAGGTCTCAAACAGAGTCATAGGAAATGTGACACGTCCCTCTTAAAAAAAAAAAGAGCTCAGAGAAGAAAAACAAAGGTTCAAAGAAGAGATTATACTACAACAGAAGGAAATGAAAACCAAGCTGATGGAACTCAAAGGAGGGGAAAATGAAGAGAAAAACAACATTAGAGAGATAAAAGTCACATCAAGAAACACCCGAAAAAATAGAATAAATGCGGCTGAAAAAGGAAGGACAAAGAGAAATCGTATCAGACACAATGGCAAAGACCAACAAAACAAAAAACTGGGCACAGATTAAGAGAAATGAAATCCAAATAATAGGACATCTCCAAGGAGACTTTTAATTTTAAAAAAAAGTGCAAATTAAGAAACATGATAAAAAAAATAAAAAGCACGATGTTATAAATAAAACAATTTATAGATTAATGATGCCCATAAATCTTTAAAAATAAAGAGGGGCCAGAGAGAGAGCACAGCAGGTAGCATGTTTGCCTTGCACATAACTGACCGTGTTCCATCCCTAGCACCCCAAAAGGTCCCCTGATTCTGCCAGCAGTGATCCCTGAGCGCGGAGTCAGGAGTAACCTCAGAGCACAGCCAGGTATGGCCCCAAAGAGAAACAAAACAAACAAAAAAGAATAAAGAAAGAATTATGTGTGTATTTTTGGCCAAAAAAAAATTTTAAAAGCCATGCATAAACAAGAAAAAGCTCAGGTAAGTTCTAATATTGCAAGAGCAGCACTGTCTCAGAAGACCACAGACAGGGCTGGAATGACAGCACTGGCCTTGCACACAGCCAACCCAGCTTCCATCCCGGCACCCCAAGTGGTCCCCAGGCAACACCAGGAGTGAGCCCTGAGCACAGAACCAGGAGTGAGCCCTGAGCACCGCCAGGTGTGGCTCCAAAGCAAAGCAGAGACCACAGA